CTATCAACAGCAAAGTTAGGACTCTGGTTCAGGAATGTGCAGCCAAGGATGCTGAAATTGCTAGGCTCAAGGCTCGTGTGGTTGAAGTGGAAACTGAGAGGGATGGTCTCAGAACTGAGCTTGCCAAAGAAAAGGAGAAGAATGATGGAATTATTCAAAACGTGCTGACTCTTCTCCAAACTCAATCCCACCCCTCCAGTTCCTCCAAGCCTTAGGACTCATAGCTTCTGTCTCCTGAACTTGTTCAGTACCCCTAGTAACCCAGATTAGGGATTTTTCTGTTTTTGCTCATAGTTTAAATGTTTTTCTTTCTTTTTGTATATTGTAGGTGGAAACATATCTCTATCAATGATAACTGTTATTTCTCTCTTGTTCAATGATTAATCTGTCCTTGATAGTTTAAATATGTTTGTTGATTACTGATAATTGCACTTGCAGTTGCCCCAGTGGCCATGAGTATTTATTAAAATCTGGGTATCACACATCGTATGCAACTTTTCGATGATGCCAAAAGGGGGAGGAGATATTGTGCTTTACATATTCTAAAATATGTGATATTTATAACCTAATTAACCTGGTCCCTAATGATAAGTGAATTTTCTAAGTTTAGTGTTAATGGTTATACTGAGTTCCTACAGGTTCCAAATAAGTAAAAACCACAGAGTTTGTCATCATCAAAAAGGGGGAATTTGTTGGCCTAAGAACAGGTGAAGTTTTGAAGAATGACAAATGAACTCAGTCATGGACCAGGTCCATCTTGTGAAGCACAGTCATGATCAACCTATACATGTGAGATGCACATGAAGGAGATAAGTCCTATTGATCAAGCAACAATATCTCCTGATCTGTTCGAAAAGGTTGCATATTAGATATGTGGAGAAAGTCTCCTTATATGAAGAGAACAGAATCCGGATAAAAGATAGTGTTAGAGTTTGAGATCTTCATGAACTCTTCTATAATAGAAGATCAACAATTGGGTCCCAATCAAACTCTAATTACTAACCTATTAAATGGCAGTGATTGTTCTCTTTTACATGTAATGCACATACGCATAAGTTAAACTAAATTGAGAGCAAAAGTGCAAGGTGATTTTTCAAGAAATTTATGTGTGATTTGAGTGTGCACTCCTGAAGCTACTTGAACGAGATAGAAGAATCAGTTCCATTGTCTTTATCTTTTATTCTAGTTCAATTGTAGTAGGTGATTTAAAGTTGTACCTTTTCAGCTTTCATAGAAGCAATTGTATTAGGTACCTGGAGTGTTCAAGTTATAGCTAACTTGAAGTTGTCGCAACAGTGGATGCTATGTGACACAACGGGATTAGAGTTAATCCTTAGGTTTACAAAGAGTTTTTGTAAATGCTATTTTGGCTTAGTGATTTTAGTGGAAGTTTGGGAAAATCCTACTGAGTAGTAGGTCATGGCTTTTTCACCTTTTGAGCCAGGTGTTTTCCACGTAAAAATCTCTGTGTTCTTTATTTTATGTACTTATTATTCCGCAAACAGTAGTAGTTAGAACACCTAGAAGAACCAGGTTCTTCTATAGCGAAAATTGGGTATCACACAAATCACCCCCTCTTGTGTGGTATTGACGCTTAAAACATCACCTAGTATGCTGGAAGTGGACGCCCTCACAAGGGATCTTGATGACATTCGTACATTAATGTGGGATGAATCTAGACCAACAGAGCTCTCTAAGAATATGCTTTTTTTTGATAAAACGCTCCTTAGAAGGGAGGTGCGAATTTACATCATAAAATAATATCATGCGATCGAGGTTAATGAGTCATCTATGCAAGTATCCTTATCTTGTCTCGGTGCTGTCCCTTGGTTGATATCGGGAACCCGAGCTAATCATATTCTATCCTTATCTTCGATTCATAACGATTATGGACGTCTGCCCATGTAGTCGCTTGGAATTCGAGCAGGCTTTCCTTAAACTTTCAGGAGGCATCGGCGTAAGAACTCCTCGGGTTCAAAACCTTAGTAAATGCCTCGGCTGCCTATTTGTTTGGAACGGGCGATAACAACATCCTTTCTTTCTGGATCTGATCATGAACTCCCGTAGTAATTTGGACTCTCCTTGTGCAATTTTGAATATGTCCGCCTTCCGGGCTTGGACCTTCCCGGCCCCGACATGGGTCTTAATGAAAGAATATACTAGTATTTCAAAAGAATCTATTAAGTGTTCAGGTAGGAGTGAATACCATGTCAAGGCCTCCTTCGTAAGGATTTCTTTAAAAAATTTCAGTAGAACCGACTCATTCTCATGTTGAGCCAAGTCATTTCCTTTCGTCGTTGTTGTATAAGTTGTAATGTGCTCCTGAGGATATGAAGTCTTATTGTACTTTGGTATGTCTGCCATCTTGAACCATTTTGGAATCAATTCTTGTGTTGCGCTCAGCTTAAACGACAACTGGGTGTACTTTTTCGACTCCGGACCCTTCAACACTGGTGGTGCGCCTAGAATCTGGTCCATTCGGGCATGAAAATCCTTCATGTTCTGATTTATCCGCACGTTCATATCCCTCATGAATCTCATGAGTTCGAGTTTGTAGGGATCATTACCGCTGTCGTTACCAGATCCGCTGCAAGTTACCCGGGCTCCGTCAAAACTGACCTCACCCCTCGGGGTGTTTTAATCGACTCTCTGAGTCGTTTGATTTGTAGGAGTGCTGGGAGGAACTGGACCTCTTCCATTTGCATTGTTGGAAGCATATGATAATTCTTGCTTCAATTCCGTCATGACTTGGTCCTGCCTTGAGAGATGGACCATAATGGCTTTCTATTGCTCTCTCAAGATCCTCACCGTTTTCGCAACGTGTTCATCCTCTGCATCATCGAGGGTTGGCTCCTGCACATCTTAGGGATATTGTCCGCCAAAACCGGAGTTGCCACATCCCCTTCATTGTGGGTGTCACTGATTGAATCCCTATGTTAAGACAGATTTTTGTGCGCCTTAACATTATGTGCGATGTTGATATTATTAGCTGCCATTTTCGATTTTTGCAATGAAACAAAGAATCAAACGAGTTAGTAATAGATGCAAGGATTAGTTCAATTACGCAACTGTCTAAGCCCCCACAGTGGGTGCCAAACTATTTACCCGTAAAACGGTACAGTTGAATTTGTAATATGGTTTATAGATAAGCGAACTTATATTACCCTAAATGATAAATAAGCTATATTAAAAATAAGACTTAGCTTTAAAATCGAAGGGAATGGCAGGCCTATTTCCGTGAGATATGCTTCTGAGGACAGAAAAAGAACAATATAAACAAAAAGTAAAGTTATATTCTTTAGCTTAAGAACAGAATATAGCATAAGTTTTGCGAGAGATTTTGTGTGTTTATAATGGTCGTTGAAATCGCTATTTATAGCTATACCTTGGAAACAAGATCCTAGGATCAAGCCCCTCTTAAATGGCAATAAAGGAAGTCATGACAGGCCATGAATGCCAGAACTTTCTGCAATGACAGCCTATTTAATACTAAGGAATATTCTTCATTAAATGTTATCTGGTGACGAACATTCAACCTCTCACGTCGGTTACGCTCCCCTCGAGACTTATCCGATGTCAGCTGCAGTTGTTGCTCCCGGACTACGTTCTTACTCGATTTGTCTTTCAGCTGTCTCCGGTTCCGCGTGTCATGCTATCATTCGATCATTCAATATAAACCAATTTTACCTTACACAACTATATAGTGAAACATCAAACATGTCATGAGATAATATTATGTTCAGATTAGAGTCATCAAAATGGGCTTGGTCCGTGAGGCCAGCCTAACCCAGACTGCTACTTGGGTAGGGTTGGGCTAGGATTTATTGAGCCCATTTAAAACTGAGGCTTATAAGCCCGACCCAAGTCAGCCCACTGGCCCTTGAGGCTTAACCGAGGTTGGTCTTGGGCCGGCCCGTGGACCAAAAATTAATTAAATTCTAATTAATTACTGTTAAATATTTAATATTTAAAAAAAGTAAAAAGTAAAAAAATATTAACTATAATCCCCATTCCACAACCTTAAATTACTCATTTACCTTTCCATATCAACCAGAATTTAGATTTTTGACATGCATGTAATATGACAAAATTAGTTTTTCTTTTGCTTAATTAATAACGAACTCGAAAAGTCTTAGGTAGCCAATAAAATTTTTTCTCAAAAGAAAATATTACTTTAAGTGAATAATGATCAGTTTGGATTACTTTAATATATTATTACTATTTAACCTACTCTTCAGTATAGATAAAGATCAGTTTTAAATACATAAAAAAAAATTGACCACTAGCAAATTTCAAGAATTTTAAAAATTTTATGGACTATAATAATGAAATCAACAAATGATGTTAATTCTACATTAAAAAACCTCATCATATAAGCTTATTATAATAATCCCTGAATCTGAGGAAAATGAAAGAAAGGTATTAAGAAAATATTCATGTAACTTTAAAAAAGAACAACAAGAGATATAGAGAATTTTCATTTCAATTACGAGATTCCTCATCAAATATCAACATTTTTGTACACTCTAAGCAAATAGAAGTTATTGTTTACATGATTAATCGACTATGTCACGAAAAAATATTTAAGGATTTAAAGATATTTTTAAAAATAAAATAAATATGAAGGGTCGGCCCGTCCTAACCCGTCAAATTTAAAAGTCCACGAGGCTTGGGCTGGGCTGGCCCATTTTGACAGCTCTAGTTAAGATAAAATACTAAGTTTAAATTAATTTGTCTCCAAATTTAAAAAGATACCATGCATTTTTTTTTAATGGATTAATAATTTAATAGTACCACATAAATAGAATTGAGGAAGTATTAATTGTATGCTCCCATAAAGCATAGGAAAGACTTTTTACCAGTTGGCACCCATCATCTACCGAGAGGGAGGCTTAAATTCGAGAGCACAACCATGTTACCATTTCCTTGTAATTTAAAAGTTTTAAAGTTAAGAATATGTAATAATTCTTTTTTTTGTGAAATTCAGAATGACAGTACTCTAACCATCAGAAATATACGTAGTAGTTGCATCCTCAACTATATTATTCGTTACAATTTCTAGTTAAAACAGTAAGTAGTACAATAAACAAACATAATTGATGTCTTGCATCAGTCATTACACATGAGCATTAATGAACCGTCGTATCTATCATATTCCACTGATCATATGATCATGCAGATAGATCTATCACTTGTGCTGACTTGCCTTGGCTTTTCTCTTCTCCATGTAAAAGAAACCAAAGAGGGACACAACAGAGAAAACAGAGAAGACAACAGAGCAGATATCCAGCGTTGCGTGGCGGCCGCTGATGGCTTGAACCTCGAACAAGTCGTCAGTTTTCTCGGCATTGGTGTTTTGGCCATAACCAGACTCTTCTCCTGCAGAATTTAAGGCATAAGCCCTGACGAAATAGGTGCCGGTGGGGACATCTCTTTCAATTGTCCATGTGAAATTGTTGTTAGCTGACTTGTATGGCTTAGTAACAATGTCGAATTGACAAGTCTTGTCTTTCTTGAGATGGTCCTCTGTTCTCCTCCAGGCACGATCCTTTTGGCTAATGGGTGCATAACAAAGCTTCAGTTTGACTGTCTTGTAGGTTGAGTCTGTTCCAGCTAGGTTGCTGCTCTTATATGACCATGTCAATGTTATATCGCCTTCCCCAGCTTTCAGAACTGAAATGTTTATATTAGTACAAGTGTTTAAAATCTATATAACAAACATTAAATAGATAACATAAAAATAAGCAAGATATGATTATATTATGAACGTTTGAACAATGCGGAAGGATAAAAATATGATTTATCAAAGCTTGAGGCGTGTCAAGGACACTGTTCTTAAGGATATTTCGCTCTCACAGTAAAGAATAAAATAGCCGTATCCTCTAGGATTCAATAAGCAGAACTAGCAGAAAATTAAATAAAGAAACCCAGTATATAGGAGGAAGAAGAAGATTCATGAAGTTATTTTAGAAAGTGTGTCTTTAACTCTCCAAAGACAATTTTTATACAGGCGTTGCTTCAACAGCTAGTTAATGGCTAGATATATAACAGTTAGTTCGACTCTATTGAATGTAAAATATTTACTAAATAATAAGTAAATGTAAATAATACTTTAAAGAGAAAAGATTTTCCAAACCAAGATGAACATTACTTTTTGAGATATCACTAATTTTTCAACAAAAACTTCTAACTAGATTACCAAGGGAAAGAAAGTAAATCTCTCATTAAAAGTTTATCTTGGCCCTTTCCAATCTTCCATCGAAGCTAAGAGGCGGGTAGGCGATTGCAATGGAAGATTAGGACAATATTGACATAAGAAAACGTTTACATCAAACTAAATAATATAACCATAATAGTAACAACCAATTAAGGCGAGAATATATACTACTTAACCATAATTAAATAACAAAATACGCATGATGCATGTCTTTGATTATTTTGTTTTGTCCAAACACCAGAGTAAGTTTTTTTGCTATTTACGTACCTCCTTGTCTGTGTGAAGCAGATACTAAAAGACTACTCTTGAGGCTAGAGAACAATATTTCACCATGACTAGTAGCTGCCAAACATGATAACAAAAGTGTAGCCACAAGAAAAAGACGAGTAGCCATTTGCTGATGNGGGTTAAAGGAACTGAATGCAAAAGAAATACCACTGATGGTTTGATAGTTGGAGGTGCAATGCTTCTTTATATAGATTTGTTGCAACTTCCCACAAGAAATGGACATCCTTAAAAAAGCTTTGATGAATTAATAAGTCAAAGGCAAACCAACAACTAGGCACAGCTAGCTCTTAAATTTCTTTCGTATGACATGAAATAATAGAATAGTATCGTTTTCTAATAATCGTTAATTAATTATAAAATCATCGTTAGGCGGATGAATTGCCTCTAAGACATGTTCAAACGGTAAGGTGGGTTATAAGCGCTTACAGAATAATAAACTTGGGAATTTTTGAAACGATAACTTAGGACTTGGGGGTAATAATTGAGAAGTTGACTTTCTATTTTTAGAACATTAACCCTAAAAAGGACGAAACTTATGGTGTTATGTTGAAACAAAATTAAGTAAATAAAAATGTGACTGCTCTAATAGTTTAAGCTATTCGATGAGTTGCTTACAAAATATATATAGTATTGAATCGGACAGAAGTCCTGGATTCGAGTTTTACTACCATCCATTATATAAAATAAAATAAAAAAAGCATATACCTGAAACATGGAAAACAATCAAATATAAAAAAGAATTCATTTGCTTAGACCATGAAAAAGAATTAGACCCCTACATGAGGAATCATATTGAAGACGTACTTGTTTAACCAAAATTTTATTTATTAGGATAAATTTATTAAATTTTTAAATGTAGGCCACAAACAAAGAAAATTAAATTGATAACAGAATTAATAAGTAAATAAAATTGCACTCTTTCTAATAGTTTAAGAATTAACATGAGTTGATCACACATTTGAACATGATATTGGATCGGGCAGAGATCCTGGATTCAAGTCTCACTGCCATTCATTATTAAAAAAAATAATAAATCATGTACTTGGACCATGGAAAAGAATCAAATATAAAAAGGAATTCATTTTCTTAGACCACCAAAAAAATTAGAGCCCTACATGGGGGTCATATCGAATATATACTTAAATAAATAAATAAAAATATAATCTTTCTACCGGTTTAAATGCTTAGATTAGATAATCACACAATTGATATGTGCTAATAGTTACATACTAAGACGAATATTTCTTACACTGAAAAGTATTTCTGTTATTTCTAAATTCAGCCGGATGATAGAAATCCGCTCCACAACTCGTAGCCAACTTTGGTAAATTCTTCGTTTTTACAAAATATTTACAAAAAAAAAAAAAAAAAAAGA